GTGATGGGTGGACGGATGGGTGGATGGGCGGGTGCGCGGGCGGATGGGTGATGGGTGGACGGATGGGTGGGTGGGCGGGTGGATGGGTGATGGGTGGATGGATGGGTAGATGGGTGATTGGTGGCTAGGTGGATGGGGACTGGGTGAGTAGATGTGTGGGTGGTTCATACGCTACTATTATTCTCACTTTACAAAAGAGTAAACTGAGGCACGGAGAGGTTAAGTGATTTGCCTCAGGGCACAGCCTGGGGAGGGGGGCTGCTGGATCTCATGAGTCCAGACCTATTGCTGCACTTTCTGCTTGGCTGCCTCTTCTAAACAACCCAAAGGGATACCGTAAACCTACCAGAAACGGGTTGGCCAGCCTCAAACTGAAACTAGCTTGATGATTCAGAAGGCGCCTTCAGATGTTGCAGCTCTTCAGTTACAGTTGTGCAGAAAACCCGCTCCTGGGGATGTGACCTTGGGGGTTTGACTCTGCTATACAAAGCAGCATGTGTGCCTGCAACCCCAGCCAAGTTTGGGGGAGGCGTGGGAGGCAAGGTCCTTGTCCTCATGGAACTCAGCAGCTTCCCTGGGGAATCAAGGCAAACACTTGGGCGTTCTTCGGTCAACAGTGGGTGACAACACCTGGAAGGGCAATCCAAGGCCAGAGAAGAGAGTTAGGATGACGGTGACGGAAAAAGAACCAGGCTGGAAGTTGGGTAGCTCTAGGTCTGAGGCCATGCTCTGCCACTTACAAACTGTGTGACCTTGGCCACATGACTGTACCACTCTGACTCTCAGTTTCTTCATCTCTACAATGAGAGTGATGATGTAAACCTCCCAAGGCCATAGTGAGGGTTAAATGAGATGCTAGCTGGGAAACAAGGCAGTGCTTGGCATTAGACAGAAAACTCTAGAAGGGGTTAACAGCAAGGAGAATTGGAGAGGGAGACAATAAACCAGGGGTTTGAGATGCTGAGAAAACAATCGTGTCTACAGACTCACTGGGGGCCCCACATAATATCTAGACACCTGCCCCATGCGAAACACAGGGCTGGGTGCCTGCGTGCTGTGTACATCTAAGAAATGAGTCAATGTGGCCCCTGCCCTCTGTTGGCACTTGGTGAAGCACATGGGCTGTGGCCTCAGAAGGCCCGAGTGCCAGTGGTGACTCCCTGATTCCAAAGGGTATGACGGTGAGCACTTCCTGGGACCCCTCTGGGCCTCAGTTTCCCCATCTATCAAATGGAGGCTATAACAGGACCCAGCGTGGCTGTTCTGAGGATTCAGTGACTGCGTCCTACGTAAGGCACATGTGTATTCCCTGCGAGAGGAGAGCTGGTCTGACTCAACAGCCGCAAGGGTGGCGTTCAGGGCCGCCACAGACCCACAGTGAACAGAGGGGTGGAGGACTGGGGGAGAAGTCAGACCCGGCCAGCCTTGGGTTTGTGAAGGTGCCTTTTCGGCATGCTCTCTCAGAGGCTGTAGGACCCCCCCGCCCCCGGCATGGTTTCAGATTTTAGTGTTTTCTTTGGCTTTCCATCGTTGTTTTGTCACTCTGTGCTTTCCTGATGTGGTATTTTTGCCCATGAGGACTCTATTCGAGGAACCACAGACAAAGGATCCCTCTAGGATGTTGCCTGATTTATTGGAAAGGGAGGGACACACACCAGGCAGCCCAGCTCTCCCTCCAGCTTCCTTCCCCATTTGGCCCTTAGGATGAGAGCCACCAGAGCCCAGACCACGGAGAGCAGAGGGGCTGAACCCTCCCTCCCTCCTCCTTCCTCTGCCAGGGGCCCGTTCCCACTCTGACCCGGGAGCCTCCTCCGCCCCCTGGAAGGAGACGCATTGGCAAGGACAACTGCTGTCCTTTCACCTTGGGCGGCTTCCCAGCCAGTCAGACCCACTTCACCATCTTCCCCAGGAGCCTCAGAAGGAGAGGCACCTGCTCCCGGAAGCTGGCACTTCCCCATGGGTTTTCCCAGGCCTGCCGGTGGCCTGTTCCCTACTCGGCTTAGCTCCAAGCCCAGTGCCTGACCCAACCAGGGACGGTTTCTGTTCTCTGTTGTTGTTACCTTGAGCGGCTCATCTGTGTCCTGACTTACT